AGAGCGTCTCGGGAGAGTGAAGGAGGCGATCTTGCATTGGATGAAGCTTCTTAAGCCTACCTCTGTTATGCTGTCAAACATAGTTGAAATCTGATTGTAATAGGCCTAGTCAGGTGCTATGGCTAGTTTGCTTAGCTATCTTGGGTGTCAACTGTGTTGCTTAGCTTTTGGTTCTGTCTAGAAACTGGTATCCCCAGTATGTAACCGCTACCTTGTTTTCTTATAAGCAGAGGTTTTTCCTCTTTTCAAAAAAATAATAAGACGACGCCATGTGCATCCATATATACAATAAAAAAGTAAACATTGAGAGTCCAAAAACTCCATAACTATCGAAACTTTAGAACCACCAGTGATAATGAAAACTACGAGCAAACTACTTGCATGGGTCGTCCAAAAGCGTCAGCCTATTACTATCGGACTTTGGAACTAGCAGCGATAATATGGACTACGAGCCAACTTGAGCCACTGCTGCTGCGCCTGTCCTGTGCCACTCTGGCTGCCACCACCGCTCCTCACCTCTAGGGGCAGCTACTGCAGCCGTTGCTTGTGCGATTGAGAGGGGCAGGGGGAGGCACCGCTAGAAGAAGTGCTCTGCGTCTAAGGAGATAGCGGAGGGGGGGAGGGATGTCACAACAGAAGTGAGGAGATAAAAGGGGATGGGCGAGGGAGAGAGAAGGGAATAGGGTTAGTTGAGCGGATGCAAGTTGGATTTAATCATTTTAAAAAACTCGATCCACGGAGGACGACGTCACACCGGGTATTTCATTAAGAAGATCTTCTCACATAGATCGAGAAAATCTCGAAACCCAGCCCTACCCGTATATAGCGGCACCATATCCCCTTGAAACGAGACGACCACATACCTGCACTTTAGCGTGGAACAAACGAGAGGATTTTTTTTTTTTTTTACCCTCGAGCCTGAAATTCGCCGATCTAAGAGGTGCCATAGGAAGCGTTGACCAACTGATCTAGCTTCCGTTGGCGGACTTAATCATTTTGATTTTTATTTTCAAGTGCATTGCTCAAGTTACTGTAAGGTGGTATTAAAATCCTTATGCAGTATTATGACTGTTGCCTCTAACAAATAGTCTATTAGTGACAAGATTTATATGTAACCGGCAATGATAGACCCACTATCAGTTTCAGAATAACCGACAACAATATAGCCTGTAGCCATAGATATTTTTGTAGTGGTGATACGGCCAATATATTTATGCACAAATCACTTGTTAATTGTTATAACTAAAACAAAGTATTCTATTTTTTGGGCTAGTCTTAAATAAAGCATACCCGCGCGACGGACCACATTTGAGAGTAATAACTAATAACCATGCCAGTGGAGAAAGAGACTCGAAGGCGTCCATAACTGGATAAGCTGCACTACGTAGATGCAATAAACACTTGCGTAGAGTACTCTACTCTCTACTTGTGGATGTATTCCAAGGCTTGGTGTTTTTGGTCAATGTACGGTTTAATTGGTTCTTTTAATTTATTTGTTCTTTCTTACTTTTCGGCAGCTGGAAGACTAACCAGCTTTGCATGCGAATATGCGATGCACGGTTTAATTTGTTTCGTTTAATTTAATTGATTTGATGTTTACCTTCCGCTAGTTGGATGATTAGTTAAGTTTTGCATTGCGTTGACTTGTTCAATATATTTATTTGTCAAGTACTGTAGTAGTCTGGATCGATCAAGCGCATAGGTATAGAAAAATGGGGCAAAAGCAGCAGAGAACAGAGACCAGACGTCACATGCCTGTACATGGGTAACTAGCTATAGGTCCTCGTCGTTTGATCATCAAAAGTAAGGTCAAGGATTATTACAATCAGCTTGGCCTATATATTCACTCCGTCCCTAAATAACTATCGTCGTTGGTGTGCATGCCACAAGTTTAACTTGATTTGTAGAAAATACGTACAACATTTGTATCTCTAAATAAATTTATTAAAAAACTAGATTTAAAGATCTTTCCAATTATACTAATTATGTATCATAAATATTAATATTTTTTAATGTATATTTAATCAAAGTTGTTTCTCGGGAAGCGAAAACGACGGATATTTAGAGACGAGGGAGTACACATTACCTTTTCTATTTCAAATTATATAAGTTATTTTAGTCTTTCTTAGATACGGAGTACCTTACTTTTACTGTTGCACACTGAGATATACGCTATGTTCTAATAATATAAAAGAAAAAAACAATTTATATTAGAATAGGGTGAGTATTATTATATACTGTATAGGTAGGTAGCCAGGCACGGGATCTATCAACACGACTACTATACCCCCACTAACGTGGATGATGGATCATGGATAAGTGCCTGATGAATGAACGTGGGCGTGCAGTGCGACCGCATTCCATTTGATGATTACCCGGCTTTTCTGGTGCAAGTTGATCCGAGTCCAGTGCGAGCACTCCAGCGCGCTAACTGACCATTACATTACATTACACAAGGACGAAATAGGGGTAATCGACAAACGGAAGAAGCTTGCTAGCTACCTGGGATTAGGAATCAGGAGAGGGGGGATGCATGCAGGTATGGTCAGCAGGTGGCGCGAAAGCTCCCCTCCGATCGACAGACAAAAACACTAAATAACGCCGGCCCTATCGGTATCGGCTGCAGCACTAGCCTGATTTCCTGGAAGCAAGGAGATCCAGCAGGAATTCGCTCGTACAGTATTAGTTTTGAAGCCGTTCGGCTCTGTTAAGACGGCTGATGTTGTTTTTGTTGTGGAGAGAAAAATATCGTACCATGACTGATAAGCAGACCTGATAAGTTCCAAGCAAACAGGGTTGTACTATATACCTATAACAAAACTACTTCCTCAGTCCAGAAAAAATGCAACTATAGGTTGCGTGTAGGTAAAAGTGTTTATATTTGACCAAATTTCTAACGAATAGTATTCACATTTTTTGCTCTAAAATAATTTATTATGAAATACATTTTGTAATTAATCTAACGATATTTATTTGATATAATAAATATTGATATATTTTTATCTATAATTGATCGAATTTAATATACTAAATTATGTCATTGTGCTAGAATTGCATTCTTCCCTAAACGGAGAGAGTAGAATTACATTGGAGCTGAATTTGATCGAATTCGATTGCGATCGATGACTATATACTGACAACGATTGATGTCTGCCGGCCCCGTCCCATGCACAAACAGATACGTACAAATGTGCAATACAAATCAAGAAAAGCGGCAACTATCAGGCACTTGCGTTGGCGGCGGGCCACACCATGCAGCGGATATGCATATGCAGTCGATGATGGTCACTGGTCAGTAGTCACCTGCTCCGATCCGCCGCCGCCGCTGCTTCCCAGAAGCATACAAGGGCAGCTCGCTACACTCCACTTGATGCATGCATCCATGACGCTTCGCTACTCCTACTAGCTATAGCTATTTTAGCTCCTGTGTTTTAGCTAGATTATTGTAATAGCGGTGTGTTCATACAAAACCCCTAACTTTGCCAGCTGGGCAGCCTTATTAGCTTTTACTTGGACATCGTTGTCACCTACCAAAGTCCAACCCAAGACAATCGGTAGTGGTTGGCATTTCTTTGTTTCTTTAATTTTCTTCCCTTCAAAATCAATCAAATTTGATTCAGCACGCATGTCTTACATGCATATAAGTCTTTCCCTTCCACTTGTACACAGTCATACGCATGGGATGTTTGGTTTGAGTATAACACCTCTACAGATCGCGAGTCGAATGGTGTGCCATCTATGAATTATGGTCATATGAAACTATTTCTCATCATTAAGTCAACCATCCGCTTCGGACGAAAAACGTTAACCACCTACCTGTAAGGATCAATTCATTCTATTTTTCTTCGCCACAAAAATGTTAACCGTCTGCGAATGAGGGTCAATTCATTCTATTTCCTAAACCAAACATTGAAAATGTGAAGCGAGAAGGTGATTGATCACCTAATTCTCAAAACCAAACATCCCCATGTCCTTTTGTTTTTATTTTCATTTTTCATCTAAACATATACAGCTTAGCCACTCTATATGATTTCAAAAAAGTCCACTTCATGTTATTATATTTTGGAACCAATACAAACGCCTCAACAGAGCAACTACAAACGCAGTAGTCGAAACAAAATAACAAATCAACCATATTGAATCGATCTGATAGTTGGAGAGAGGGTTCCATACATATAGCAACCTGTATTTACAACTGGAAAGTGCACGCGTACATGGGTAGCCAATGGGGCTTCAGCTTAATTTAAACTAAAACCTTTTGGATACTCATTTAATTTTCTGAAATTTGTCAGGGCATGAAGAAAAAAAATGTATAGGGCCTTATTTAGATCACCTCCAAATTTCAAGTTTTTTCACCTCTCTCCATCACATCAATTTTTGGACGCATGCATGGAGCATTAAATATAGGTAAAAAAAATAACTAATTACACAGTTTGGTTGTAAATTACGAGATGGATCTTTTGAGCCTAGTTAGTCCATGATCGGACAAAGTTTATCAAATACAAACAAAACATGCTATAGTGTCAGGTTGCAAAAATTTATAATGTAAACAATGCCTATATAGTCCTTTGCTAGTATCACTATATACAGTGCACCGCAATAAATAAGCTGCTGGAGTACAACCACCGTCACCAGCAGTGTGGATGGAAATGTGGAAGCCTGGAAGAGGAAGGGAGGAGGAAGCAGCAGCTGGCAGTGACGCCAGCGGAGCTTGTCTTATCCCGCCGCCCTACGTCACGCGAGAGAGGGGGCGTGGTCACGTGCCCCCCAGCGCCCTGCCTTTTCGGTCGATCCTGCGGGCCCCACTGAGGCTGTCCACATCACCGTCGGTAGTCAAATTCAGACGGTTCAATCCATTCCCCCAGGTGCAGGTGTGTCCTATAAAAGCCGCCCGCATTCGCCTTGCCTCTAATTCGCATCGATCACACTACCGAGTAACTTGACACAACAGAGCACTACCTATCAGGGAGCAGTACGCCTCCTACATGTTTAGCGGCAGCATGCATAGCTACGGCGGCGGCGGCGGCGGCGCCATGGCCACGGACGCGGCGTTGGACACCGGCGGGGACGACATGCAGCGCCTGCTCAACGAGCTGATGCTCGACATGGCCGCCGAGTCCGACTCCTTCGACGACGACATGGAGGCGGCCTCCTCCGAGTCCTCGTCGTCCGCCTGCTCGGCCAGCCAGCAGGAGGCCAGCCGGCGGCCGCAGCAGCAGCAGCCGGACGGCGACCGCACCACCAGCGACAACAACAACAAGGGTTCCAAGAAGCAGCTGCAGCCCTTCATCGGCGTGCGCAAGCGTCCCTGGGGCAAGTTCGCGGCCGAGATCCGCGACTCCACGCGCAAGGGCGCCCGCGTGTGGCTGGGCACCTTCGACAGCCCCGAGGCCGCCGCGATGGCCTACGACCAGGCCGCCTTCTCCGTGCGCGGCGCCGCCGCCGTGCTCAACTTCCCCGTGGAGCGCGTGCAGGAGTCGCTGCGCGCACTGGCGCTCTCCTCCGCCGCCCCTGCCGCGGGCGGCTCCCCTGTCCTGGCGCTCAAGCGCCGCCACTCCATACGCAAGCGCTCCCCGAACAAGAACAAGCAGCAGCAGCAACAGGTGGCCGTGGCCGCCGCACCAGCAGCAGCAGCAGCAGCAGCCCCGTGCCCCGGCGGCAACGTTGTGGAGCTGGAGGACCTCGGCGCCGATTACCTTGACGAGCTCCTCCGGGTGTCATCCGAGTTCCATTGGCAATAATCCGTAGTGAATGGCGGTCGTGCAAGGTGCAAGCCAAGCGAGGTTTAGTCGTGGATCGAGTTCAGTTGTCATCAGAATTCAGAAAGCATGCAGACTGCAGAGCACTCCTGCCTGCCCTGCCCTGTCCTCGCTCGCCAATTGCGAGATCGACGACGACTGTGCTCATCTTTTTCTTGGATATATATATATTCGCTTGTGTTTAATCAATACCGGCCCCACCACCGGTCTCTGTTGCTTCAGTTTTCCTGTGTCAATTTTCTCAATACAAACTAGTTAAACGCTAATACATACTCACCTCTATAAATACAAGCATACACGTATACTTTACCCCTCTAAAAGAATTAAGCTCTTTAGATTAGTTTAATTAACAAAGTCACCATAACTAGCACTTTTTCGTTACAGAGAATGCAAATATCAATGCCAAGTGTAGAAGATATGTCCGAGTACGAGAAACTAACTAGTTGAGCTACTTTCTGTTTGCTTTCTTTTCTTGAGCTCGCGAGGGATTTGGCATTTTGGCTACAACCTTTTCAAGTAATTCATTTTTTTTTTTTGAAGAAACATGAGTTACCCCCTACTTGCAAATACAATACAAGAAAGAACCAACAGTTTACATCAGGAAACAAAAAAGGTGAGAAAGTAAGAGATCCGTAAGATTACAAATAAACAAACCTCCATTGCTCAAACAGAGGGTAATAACTTTTAAAGTGATTTTCTCTATACCTTTTCTCCTTGTTTTTAAAAAAAACTGTGATATTATATATAGAGCGTGGCAGCCATGAACCAATACTGATACAATATTTTAACAATCTGAGAGGCGTTACGTATATCGGGTCCAACTCGGTGTAGACCAACACAAATCGGCGTGGCACAAGCAAATTTGCCTAGGTGCACATGGCATTTTTTTTTACGTATGAGTATGATATGTGCAGTCTTCATCCTGGACACAATCAAAGACCATCTTCGAGCATTTGTTGTGCAATTAAAAAAAGCTGGCCCCTTGCTTTTTTATGCTAGTAAGCAATTCGGAAGCTTCCATGGATGGCCTGATGGGCCCTGGGGTTTGGTTTGGTGCACATATGGACCCAGTTTATTTACTTTACATATATACATGAGGCTCCGGAATCCAGGGGCAACGACCCATAACATAACGTTTGATTATATTAGTATATAAATCTATATTTTTTTTTAGAATGATAGCGATGCAACCGCGCGTATGGTGTATATATTACACTAATGTATGTATATATTTCATTTGATTGCACGAGGCACAGTGCATATAAGGATAGATGAAGGATCCGACCCAGTCTCCTCTGGATCTGTCTGACTGTCCCCACGTCAGCCCCCACGTAACATCTAGCTGACTATGTACATGGTCAGTGGTGGCGTCCGACAAGCAAACTAGCAAAGCAACCAAGAATCCTTCCAACCTTTTTTCTTCTCCCTGTTTTCTCTTCATTCGTCAATGTATCGTGAACTATAATAATGCAATGTCTTGTTTTGTTTGTTTGACCTCCATGGACGAGAGAAGAAGAAAAAATGCATGTTAGTGCTGATGAAATTTCCTTTTTTTTTTGTTTACGTAATTTTGCAACAGGTAGATAGACCGGAGGACGGAGGTATACCTATGCATGGTCTCGTGACAGATCACTACCAGATCAGTGGAGTTCCCCTGGTGCCCATAAAATTGCCGCTCAAGTTACTCCGTCGGGGGCATTTAATCGGAAAATTGCGTGATGCTCCGAGCGTTTACTCCGTACACACCAGGAGAAAGTGGTGTTCCATGTGCCTGGCCCATTCACTAGGAATAGCCTATCTGCACCAGGGAAGCTACACTGTGCTTTGGGCACAAAGCACATGGGAAATCACATGTACATGTTACATACGGAGTAGCAATCACACTTGGGAAAAATTCAGGATCATATTTTCCTTATGCCCTGCTTGTTTATAGATATTTTAGAAAAAACTTTAGCCATAAAAATCTGACACATATAATTAAAAAACAATGACTTATGCCAATCTCTATCAAGAAAACAAATCGTTAGAGAGTCTAGTATAGTTTAGAGCATCTCCAAGAGTTCCCTAAACACCCTTCTAATCCTTGTTTTTTAAAAAGATGGGAAAAAACCCTCTCCAACAACTCATAATATTTACTCTTAATCTTTTAGGACTTGGAAAATTTCTTCCCTTCGCGTAGAACTTTACGCTGAATGAAGGAAATGCTGGAGCGCGCGTTCCCCACGAAGTCCTTCTTCCCGCCTTTCCTTCTTCTGGCGAAAGCAGCCGTGTGGGCTCCATGGCGAAAGCAGAAGCCGAGGTGGTGGCGTGCTTTGCGCGAGAGCTGTCGATCGCGGTGCCAGTGGTGGCACACAAGCGAGGCCGCCCTCGGTCACGCTGGTCGTCGACGCGAGCCGAGCACGAGGTGCAGCGCTTCCGGGGGGCAACAGACTGCAGCCGACGCTGCAGAGCGCGTGGCTCTGCTCTGCGTGCTGCTCGCACCTCGCGCCCATTGGGCCGGCCGGGATCGGGAGCAGATCGGCTACTGCGCGAGGTTGGCTCGCCGGAGATCTAGGCCAAGCGTGGGCATGGAGATTTTTTGTTGCCCCTGCCGCTGTGATTTCTGCTGGTGTGTGGGCTTGAGAGGACGGGAGGAGAGGCGGAAGGGAATTATTGGAGGGAGAAGCAAGCCTCTGCGGCTCTGCCTTGGCAAGGGAGAGGGAGGGATGAGGAGCAGAGCAGCGAGGGAGGACGGGGATTGGAGAGCCAGCGTTTACTCCGTTCCTGTGGCGACGAAGAGGTTCCGTGGAAAAAAAGACTGCAGAAAAAACCATCAAATGGGACCAGCATTTGATTTTTTAGAAGTCAAATATTAGGAACTATTGGAGATAACTACACTTTTTTCTCCTAAAACTTTTTTAGGAGTCGGTAAACATAGATTTTTTAGGAGGAATGTTTAGGAAACTCTTGCAGATGCTCTTACTAGCTAAACTAATAGATCTAGCAAGTTATCATAACAAATAGCAACCTTAAATTTGTCCTTCTCCAACGGTCTCCTACAATAGCTTTCTAAACGATTTTGTACTGGGAACCCCAAACTATTACTAACAAACCACAATTTTTTAATTTGGCAAGTCCAGATCTAGTCAAGAAACTTGGATTGACAACACGTGCTCATCAACATCCATACCCCCTTCAATGGTTTAACAATAGTGGTAGGCAAAGGTAACATGATCTGCGCGTGTGCATTTTTCTATCGGATCAGACAATGAATATGTTGATTTTGATGTTGTGCCTATGCAAGCTTGTTCAATTTTGTTAGGCCGCCCATGGTAATATGATATTGATATGCTATACACCATGTGAAAGGTCCTAATGGCTAGAGGGGGGGTGAATAGCCTAATAAAAATTTTTACAACAACACTTAACAAAAAGGTTAGACAATTATGAGGCGAAACAAGTGTTGCGCTAGCCTACTCAAAATGCAAGCCACCTATCACAATTCTAGTTTAGATAGTATCTATTCACACAATAGCTATGACACTGCCCTATGTTAGTGTGCTCTCAAAGGCTAACTAAAGAGCCACACCAACCAAGTAAGCAAGCTCTCACAACTAGCTACACTAAAGAGCTTGACAACTAGTTTGCGGTAATGTAAAGAGAGTGATTAAGAAGGTTATACCACCGTGTAGATGAAGGAACCAATCAATCACAAGGATGAATAACAATGAAGACCAATCACCTCGGAATCAATGATGAACACAATGATTTTTTACCGAGGTTCACTTGCTTGCCGGCAAGCTAGTCCTCGTTGTGGCAATTCACTCACTTGGAGGTTCACGTGCTAATTGGCTTCACACGCCAAACCCTCAATAGGGTGCCGCACAACCAAAACAAGATGATGATCACACAAGCCATGAGCAATCCACTAGAGTATCTTTTGGCTCTCCGCCGGGGAAAGGTCAAGAACTCCTCACAATCACTATGATCAGAGCCGGAGACAATCACCAACCTCCGCTCGACGATCCTCGCTGCTCCAAGCCGTCTAGGTGGCGGCAACCATCAAGAGTAATGAGTGAATCCCGCAGCGAAACACGAACAACAAGTGCCTCTAGATGCAAACACTCAAGCAATGCACTTGGATTCTCTTCCAATCTCACAAAGATGATGAATAAATGATGGAGATGAGTGGGAGGGCTTTGGCTAAGCTCACAAGGTTGCTATGTCAATGCAAATGGCCAAGAGAGTGAGCTTGAGCCGGCCATGGGGCTTAAATAGAAGCCCCCACGAAATAGAGTCGTTGTACCCCTTCACTGGGCACAGCGCGGGGTGACTGAACGCTCCGGTCCAATCGATAGGACGCTGGCCCTCAGCGTCCGGTTATGTGATACATGCCACGTGTCCCCTGCTTCAAATACTGTTCGTCAAATTTCAACGGTCATCTGTTGACCGGAAGCAGCGCACAAACTGACCGGACGCTCAGCCTCCAGTGTCCGGTCGTTTCCAGTAAGGTTCTAGAAATGAATTTCTTCGACCGGACATGTCCGGTCATGCTTGACTAGACCCTGCCAGCGTCTGGTCTCACAGTGACTTTCTTCTACGTTGCCCGACAATAGGACCGGACGCTGGACCTCAGCGTCCGGTTGGTCCAAGACTCAGCATCCGATCGATGACCGACGCTGGCGTCTACGCTGCCACACTTGACCGGACGTGCCGATCCCTCTAAGACCAGCGTCCGGTCACTCAGTGACCAGCAAGACTAACTCCTTTTTACCTCTAACTTCTTCACCCTTGCTCAAATATGTCAACCACCAAGTGTATCACCTTGTGCACATGTGTTAGCATATTTTCATAAACATTTTTAAGGGTGTTAACACTCCACTAGATCCTAAATGCATATGCAATGAGTTAGAGCATCTAGTGGCACTTTGATAACCGCATTCCGATACGAGTTTCACCCCTCTTAATAGTACGGCTATGGATCCTAAATGTGATCACACTCA